CCCCTCTCTCATCTGAACACTGTTCTCAGATCAGTTTCAACTCTCAGTCCTCAGAAAGATTTAGCATAGACTATGATGTGCAGACTAACCCCGCCCATACACAGATGCATTAGGCGTGCAGTATTTGATATGCAGATGATATAATGAGGGAAAAATAAGATCTATATGTTCCTCTGCAGTAGCAGCAGGAAGTCTTGCTCACCGTTTCCTCATTATCAGTTCATATTAATGCCCCGCTGTTTCGCTGACTGACGGGTTGAGAAGAGATTTGTTTTCAAGCTAATTTTCCTTATTAAACTCTCTTCTGTCCGCTGAGACTCAAATCTGTTTTAAACTCTCGTTTAAATGCGGTAAGTGGCCAAGGGCCAATAGGAACACCGTTTCCAGTGGCAACACTGAAGGCCACCGGCTGAGCTGCCTGTTTTCTGTCTCACTCGGGCGGCAGCTGTTTAGTGAATTAAAATAATGCACTCGCTGATTTTCTTCTGCTAGCACAGGGTATTATCACACAACTGAATCGCCCCAGAGCAAGCACTCAGATTCTAAATTTTACCCGATTTGTTTCTCTTAAAGCACAACATGACTTTTTGGAGCCTGTTTGAATAGATGCGGAAATCTGTCTCCTGCCTCATGACCTGCCTTGCTCTGACTCTCCACCCCTTCGTTCACTTATTTATTAGCATGATGGTATTATGTGTGTGTCTGTACCTGTCCTGCTTCAGTAATTGGCAAGGACAGGGTCCTTAATGAGCTTCCCTTTGTGTTGTCCACTGAAAGATGCCCTCAGCCCATTAAAAAGTCTTCCTTAATTAAGGGGTCAGTTATTCTAATGAATGTAATTAAACTAGATCTTGTCTTTTTTCATCTGTCCATCACAGAACCAAGCTCAGCTCTCCCGTCTAGCTACAAGTAGACAGCATAAGGAGAAAAAATATGGATGTGTATGGTATTTATGAGCCATTTATTTTTCTACCTCAGTAAACTCACCAGATTGATTCATTGTTTTCTTTACTGCATCGACCGGCAGTTTGGAAGTTTATCAGAGGCTAGAGCGAGTTTCCTTATTCCTGGTGATGCATCAGCACTTTTGTGCTGTTTCGCTGTGGTTGCTGATTAATACATATGCAAAACACAATTTTGTTCTGGAAAAAAGTGGTAAATTCTATGCTGAACGGCAGTGTAATCATGCTGAAGATGCATAATGCACAGAACTCATGACATGATGGAAATTAGTTTGAATGGCTGAGATGATAAAGCTTAGGGAAATCAACCTACAAATGACTTATAATTGCCTCTAGCCTACATGTTAAACCTAGTCAATTTTAACATGGAAAACACTGAACAGCACCTTTAAATTGTTGGTCAGATTTAAAAAAAAAAAAAAAGATTTTTGTCTTTTATGCCCACCATGGCTGCATTATATATTAAAAAAAAAACAGTATTTTGAAATATAGCTATTATTATAGTTTAAAATAACTGTTTTCTATTTGAATATGTTTTCAAATGTAATTTACTCTTGTGATGGCAAAGTTGAATTTTCAGCATCATTACTCTAGTCTTCAGTGTCACATGATCCTTCAGAAATTATTCTAATATGCTGATTTGGCACTTAGGAAACATTTCCTATTATTAATGTTTTCTATCTTATATTGTAACGTATTTAAAAAAAAAAAACTTTAATTTTGATATTAATTTTAAATAATTAATCCTTTCTAAATAAAATAATTAATTTCTTTTTTAAAAATTTGATTTTTTTTAACATTTAGAGTAATAAATAAGATATGTAATATCTAATAATGTTTGCTTCTAAACCTCCATAAGAGATGGCCCGAGACAACAATTAAATATGTATTTTATTGGTCATATTATTGCATTTTATTCAAGTGCAATAGAAGTCAAAAGGAAGTCATAATTTAGATAATTGGTTAAACGTCTGTGTAAGAAAGGTTTCGCTACGTGTTGAAACTTAACCAACAGGCCACTGCCCTTTCTAATAGGAAATAGCAAAGCTGATGTTTCCTCATTAACCTGCTGCTCTGACTGATTCTGTGTGGATCATCCATGCCATTGTTTCTGACATCCAGATGACTCACTTCTTCTCTTTACTGTCCTGATTAACAGGCTCTGATCCTCATCCAGTATCGCTGTATTTATTTTTGTGTTTTAATCCACAACAGTTTTTACTTCCCAAAAGACTCGGGCTACTTACAAAACCAGAATGTTTCTGGTTTTGGTCCCAAGCTTTCTAAGGAAATCAGCCAACAGAAGTCACAGGATTGATGGGTAATGCCCTCAGGGTGGCTGACACTGTCAGATTGTCAGAATGAAGAGCAGTAGATCCTCTGTTGTTAGTGTGACAAGTCTCTCTTCTTGTCTCACCTGAAGGAACGAAATGACTGCTCGATGTGCCATTACCCTGAACTGAAGATTTGTGTGTTAACCAAGAAAAGAGAACAGGCATTTAAAGGGGTCCTATTATGCTTTTTCACTTTTTTAAATTTTAGTCAGTGTGTAGTGTGTATGTTTGGGCATAAAAAAGATCTAGAAAGTTACAAATCTCAAAGTCCACTCCAAAGGGAGATATTTAGTTTTTTAAAAATCCCTTTTCAAGAACTACAACAAACGGCTCGTTTGGACTACAGCGTTTGTTTTCAGCTAACCAATCACAACACATTTCGTTTTTTTCGAAAGGCGGGCCTTCATTAAAACCCAGAACTAATCGAGCCGTTTGTGCCAGGCTGGGGAGAAAGGTATTTTAATAATGTAAATTATGTGAAAAATAATGCGTTTTTTGAACCACCAAGCATGAGAGCATGTTCTAGTACACCCCCAAAACAAAATCAAGACTTTGTAAAAGAGCATAATAGGACCCCTTTAAGAAGCTCTCCTATTGTCTTTTTCTCCTTCCAAGTGTGTGTTTGTGTCTGAAAGTGTTTATTGGTCAATTTGTGATGGTCAGTGTTTATGAAACCGATCTTTAGAGAAGTCGAAGCTGAGCGTGGGTGGTACTTTTCTCCACATGCTCTGCTATTTACCTCAACCTCCATTTTGTGGCAGTCATAGACCACCAGAGGAATATGTATGACATTTTTACGGTACCTGAATAAGAGTTTACAGTCATAAAGAGTAAGAGATACAGTAAGAGCTTGCGTTCTTAGTCATTCTGGAAACTGTGTTGTTTTTATAGAGTGAATGTTCTTAAATGTGTGAGACTTGCACATGCAGCTTTTACAAGTCTGAGTGACCAAGCAACACGTTACCAATCACTCTATCAACATTCTAGCAACCGCACAGCAACATGTTTACAACAACTCAGAATCATAGATATGTATAGGTAGATGCCACATTTGACCACTCCAGACGCTTTGATGTGTCCGCCATCTTGAAACGGTCGGTCAACGTGTCATCACTAATTGTAAAAATCATTGAGTTTTCAAACATGCCACAACCTTGCTTAGCCTCTGCTTGTAAAAACCACTGAATTGAAGAAATAGGAGAAAATTTCCCAGGTGAGAATATGTTGTTGTCTTTTTTTAATATGTATTATCTCAATATTACAGGTTTTTAACTATGGTAACTAATGGTGTATTGGTACACGTATTTGTACTGAAAATGTGCGGTATACGGGTCTTTCGGTTCAGTACGCATGTGTACCGAAAAAATACAGCATTGTTTTAACCACTGCACGAGTGGTACTTCATTGTAAACTTCTATTTTTATATTTTGTTACTTTTGATGTACATTTTTTCCAGGAAATTCAAACAATAAATCCTGTTTTGACGCTCTTTGATGTGGTGTGACAGATCGCTGTATAAACGCCTCAGTTCAATTGGCAGCACGGAGCGCGAGTGAGCGTGATCATTCCTTTCTCTTTACTACTAGCTTTAACGCGAAATAAACATGAATGAACATCTCGTTACCTCAGGCAAGTCATCAGTGTCCACAGCTCGTTAGTTCGCTAGAGAAATAAAGTCTAGAGAAGAGCATTATTTAATGCTAATAATATTAGACAATATAATCGTTAGATTTAACTTTACCTGTTAGTGATGTCTTAATAATTTAATGTATGTTTAAATAAATTTGTTATGAAATAAGTTATGACAGCCACTGTGTAAATGAAGATATTTCAACAACAAATAGAAATTGTATCATTTGGAAGGTAATTTAAAAACTGCATTATGTGCAATTTACACATTTGCATACATTTTTTTAAGTTGATTATTATATTTAAAAATAAATAGTAATTACATTTAAGTTTAGGCTCTGTTGTTAATTGTAACCTTATAGTAATGTAAAAGGGCTCCCTATAGTTTAGAGCATAAGCTGAGGTAAATTTTTATTCCTAAGAAAATGTTAATTATAATTGAACTTTTTAATCAAAGACAGAGCAATTTGTACAGCAAACCACTGTTTAGTAAAAAACAAAACAAAAATAATTTTGTTTAGTTTTTCCCGCTGCTGTACCGAAACCATATCGAAACGTGATGTCAAAGCCGAGGTATTTTCCTAAGTTGCTCTTGATTGATCACGAATCAGCTTTGACCTTTCCAATATAGCGGACAGCTTACATGTAGCAACCCATAGACAGACTCTAATAAGGCATCAGCGTATACATATATGTGCTCAGAACATCCAAGCAACCACATAACAACATGCTAACAACCACCCAGAATGAATCATACCAACAAACAGCTGCTCAGATCACCCTAACAACTGCATAGCAAGATGCTAACAGCTCAGAACACTGTAATATCCGCATAGCAAGATGCTAACAACTACTCAAAACTCCCAACACCCTAGCATCCACATCGCAAATAGCAATGACCTGACATATTTCTTCAGAAATATCTAGTACTTCAGTGTTTTCACAGGCCAGTGACTGAAGGATCTGATGTCTGATTCAGTTCATGTTTATAGCCCAAAGCTATTGGATGTATTTCGAGAAGGATTTCCACAAGTCTAATCCCAGTGTGCATTTGTGTGTGCTTGTGTGATTCCAGGACAGTAGTGCCATGGAAAATGTTCCGGCAGTGCCTTCATGACGTGCACCCCATCAGCTCCGGGTTGGAGGCCATGGCTCTGAAATCCACCATCGACCTCACCTGCAATGACTACATCTCCGTCTTTGAGTTTGACATCTTTACTCGTCTTTTCCAGGTAACCCCAAACCTCTCACCTCCCACAACCCCATCCAAGTTTTGAGTTTCTCTCGAATTCTCAACTTGACAAACACGCATTAGATCTGCTAATGTCAACTACTTTCTAAAAGCAGCTAATCGTAATAACGAAAGCGATACAGAAGGATCACCCTTGTTTTTCTCTCACTCAGGCGTGGGTCGATCTACTCATTCTGAGGAGAAATCCTGTACATAGATGGCTCACAGATAACCACGTTTAAATTGAAAACATCAAAACGTCTCGATGTTTTGTAGTCATCACGATGGAAAATAGCGCAAACTCTGGGGGATCACCTCTGAGTGAGTGTCGAGTGGGAGGTTTGTTTTACGCAGAGGAATCCCTTAGTGAGAAAAACATACCTCATCCTTAACCACAACACACACGCTTACAAACCTGTTCTTGCACAAGCCTTATTACGTATCGGCTGCAAAACACCCACTTTTTTGTCTACCTACTCAAGTCTTTGGTGCAAAAAAATACTGAAATTCCCAGAAATGTGCTGGAAGGACCCACATCGTTTCATTAGCGTGGATTTGTTTATGCGTGTGAGTCAATCAGTGAGTAATATGGAGTTTTTATCTCATGCCGTGCTTCTAATCGTGACCTTCCTTGGCTGAATCACCACACATGACCCCCGCTATCTTACAGCCAAAGCCAACAAAACTACACCCTGCTCATTTGAACATCCAAAACTCTGTCCCTTTGTAGCCCTGCTGCAGATTTTTGGGAATTGCTTAAGTCTTGATTGCTTATGCTTGTATGGGAAAGAGGAAACCCACATAACAAACTTTATTATTTTTTTCTCCAGTTTTGTCACACAGTATAAACAGGTCTTTATACATTAAAAAATATATATATTTTTTCAATTTAGGCATTGGGTTATCATATTTGTGAGTTCTTACAATGAAAAAACCTTGCATTAGATAATATAATGCAAAACAAACAGCATCTGCAAAGAAATTATGGTCGATCTACTACAGTAACTTCCATTTTCTTTTGATTTTTAATGGATGAAGCCACTTCCCTAATACCATTGTGCATTAACTATAGCCATGTCCAATGAACCTTTGACAACCAGAAAGCATCCAAATACTTGTTTTCTACATTTTAAACAGCATATTTATTAGTTTGTAATTTAAAACACACTTCTTTTTGTTAAATATTTAGTTTGAAGTGTGTTTGTGGTTTTCTTCAAAATAAATTGGACATGGTTTGATTTTTTTTAGTTATTTATTTTAGTTTTATGCAACATTCGTACAATTTTAACTGTGACAGGTGCTTTTGTCGACATTTTAAACAGCACATTTATTATTTTATAATTTAAAACACACTTTTTTGCTTAATGTTTAGTTTGAAACATGTATTAGTGCCGTGTTTCTTTAAAATAAAATAAATAGTGCAAAAACACTTAATGTAATTATATCATGCATTTTTATCTGCGACTTAAGTGATAATTTCTTGTAGATTGTTGTAAATCCAACTACAAGGAACAGTTGTGTACTTAGTTTAGTTGGTGTGTTACAGCTTTGTTCATTTAATCTTCTGAAAGGTCAGTAATGGTAAAAATGCAGTGTACTGTATGCTGGCGCACTCCAGTCTGACTTCTGTTGTTTGAGCTCTTTGCAGTATCAAAGATTACGTGCTTCCTAAACCCACCACCTTTCTCTCTAATTTATTTCTCTTTCCTGTAGCCGTGGGGCTCAATCCTGAGGAACTGGAACTTCCTGGCTGTCACGCACCCGGGCTACATGGCCTTTCTGACGTACGATGAAGTGAAGGCACGTCTGCAGAAGTACATCAACAAACCTGGCAGGTACAGACTAGTCTGTGTACAACTGGGTGGCTTTAATAGACACACCATCTGCTGCATGGTGCGCCGGGCCAGCCAGCTGTTTTTCTCCAGTCTGGCAGGCGACCCCACTTGCATGGGAAAGTGGGCGAGGCGGAGACGTTAGCTTATTACAGGAGGCTCTTTGTCTGCGCTTCTACGCTCTTGTTTGTCATTTAGCATGCACTGGTCTAGCAGCTAGGATTAGTGTAACCTGGAAATGAACCCCTGACCTTTGCATTGGCAGCCTAGATAGTATGCTAAGGGTGCCGGACAGTGCCGCAGGGAGACAGAGGTAGTTAAATCCAGTCTGTTTGGATTAGCTGATTAGAGAAACAGCATCGCATCTGCGCCAAAACAACTCGAGGTCCAGAGCCAGACAGCAGGCGCGATTACACACTGGTTAGAGTCGTTTAACGCAACAGCAAGATAATAACAAGGCCATAAAATAAGAAACTTTATGGGAATGGATTCCTACTGTTTGATTTTCACCAGGAAGATGGGCCGATTTAAAGGGCTAATGTGGGTTGGAGAGATGTGGCTGAACAAACAGAAGGAAGTCGAGGATGGTGGGTGGTCGAGCAGAACTGTATGCAAATACCAATCTACTGAAGAGAAGCAGCAGCTGTGTGTGTGTGCGGTTCAAGAAGGTCATGGCGGCACACAAGGGGACTATATGTGTTTCACGCTGAGCGTCTACCCGTAACCATCACCTGGCAAAATCGAGCTTTTGACACGCTGGATGTCATTTTCATGTTTATATCAGGGCAGTGTGACGTGAGAGGCAGGGCTCATTAGTGCGGAAACACACACTCGCTGCCTCAGTGGTCACAGCAGCTCGGAGCTTTTTATGATCTGTTTGTGTGTGATGACTCTGTGGGTGTTGGCGACTTGGCTTGTTTTCCATGACAATCATCTCCCAGTTCCTTCTCTCTTGACATCCATATTGCGCTCTCGGCCTACCAGGACCTGTCTGCCCAGCGCCACAGTGCAGAATATCCTGCTGTGGGATGTTAAATTATCCCAGAAAACAAAAACTGATGGCTGGAAGTCTGTTTTTGAAGAATACTCTTGTTGCATGAAAGTAAATGAGGACTGGGGCTGTTAAGCTCCAAAATGACAAAAAAGTGTCATGTGGTAAAATTGGTTTTCTGAAGTCATATGATAGGATTGTGTGGTGAACATACAGAAATTGAAGTCATTATTCACTGTAATTCTTGATTTCTGTTTTCTTGGCACGTTCATGAGAGAAGTTGCAATGTTTGATTCTTGAACAAATCTTTTTGTTTACTCATTTTTTTCCCCGGTGAATTGCTTGATGAAGTTCATAAAACTAGTTCATGAATCAAACTGATTCAGTTCATGAGTTTAATGTTTGATACTGGAACAAATCATATTTTTGTTTAATAAATTGCTTTATTGCTTTATGATGATTTGTTCATTTGTGATTCATTAACAAATCTTTTGACTTTTTCAATGAATTGCTCGATCCAGTTGACAAAAGTTGTCTGAATGATTTATTCATGAAGCCTATTCAGTTCATTAAATGTCCAATTTATGAGCAAAAGTTCAATATACGATTCATGATTGAATCATTCTTTTCACTCAGTTTTTTTTAATGAATTGCTTGATCCAGTTCACAAAACCATTCTAAATAATTGTTTAATGAATTGAACTGATTCTTCGGGTCACTGGAGTCAATGATCTGGTAATGTCGTCAGTGGTTAACAGCTCACTGGAGGAGAACATTTCAGTGAAAATGACTTGAATTTAGTTGTTTCTCACACAAAGCATCATATGACTTCAGAAGACCTATAATGTAAGTCATATGGATCACTTTAATGATATTTAAATGGTAATTTTTCATACCTTTTTTCCACTTCAAAGCTTCAGTCCCCATTCATTCTAATAGCATGGGCATTTTTGTCAAAATTGAATTATGACTAAAAAGGAGTCTCTTAGACTATGATCTGTCCTGTGACAGAGGGTTTTGGTTCAACTATGGTCAGATTTCAAAGATATCAAATCAATTAAAAAAAATCTTTGAAGTCTTTTTTTCAGTTTCCGTGTTTGTGTAGTTGCTGTATTTGCCTATCCTATAAATGAAAAGTGTCAAATAAGATGCTAATAGTACATTTTGAAAGTATAAAAGGAAAGGTACTGTAGCAGCTTTCATATTAAACAAAATAGAGAGGAGAGAGAGTGACTGACAGAGAGATGGAGTAATTGGCGGAGAGTTGAGTTGAAAGAGTGTTAACAAGAGGTAGTGTCGAGACTGTACGATCCTTTTTTCCCCCTGTGCATGAAAAGCTCCATGTCCAGCGTGAAAGCAGCACAGCGGAGCATTATGAGATTAATCACATTTAACACAGAGAGCTCCATTCATCCCTAGCAGCTGCATTAGAAATAACTCTAATGTAATCAAGAAATCCTGCAACAACCCCTTACATCAGGCCATGACCTTTTCCCGTGGTGAATCAGTGTGTGCGGTCTGATTTCTGAAAATAGTGGCTCAAACACGGCAAACTGTCACTTTTGTTGCAATGTTGCATTTACCTCATCGGATTTTCTTATTTTGGCATTGCTAACTTTTGTCTGATCCATCTCATTTGCACATTTGTTATGTTTGTGACATCACATGAGGAAATAGCATTTATCATTGCAAATTAAATTCTGTGATGCTGTGGGATATTGAATGGAAAGGTTCAGTCTGGTACCAGCTAGTCTCTTAATCCTAGATGAATTTGTTGTTCAGCAGTTGCATAACCAAGAGCCATCTTAACTCCAAAAATCTGCTTTTCGTTTCCTTTTCCTCTTAGTAAAGGTGCATGCAGATGTAAATATCATCCATATGGTTCTGTTTTTCTCTTCTTTGTTTTCCGTAGTTTTCGATTATTTCATAATTGCTGTTATGATATCAAAACTTATGGGCTATTGTTTTCAGTTTCTACCCAAATAAATGTTTTCTTTAACACAATGGACCCAAGCCTGTTGCTTTCATGCAACCGATAAGCAAACAAGTGTTACATTTACATAACCTCATTCGTGCTTTGCTGTTTTTAGTAATGTTATGTGTCAGCTGTTTTGGTATGCGTTATGGTTTTTTACAGTTGGTTTCTCTCTCTCCATCCTAAGCTACATCTTCAGGCTGAGCTGTACGCGGTTAGGACAGTGGGCCATCGGCTATGTCACCAGTGACGGCAACATCCTGCAGACCATCCCACATAACAAGCCGCTGTTCCAGGCGCTCATCGATGGATGCAGAGAAGGCTTGTGAGTATCTCAGACAGATTAAACTGTTAAATAAACGTCATAGCTTTGGCCTAGTAGTTGCTGCATGTTGAGCCATGGTGCTCATGTGGGCGTTTTGAGTTCCAGTCCCAGTCCTCCCTCCATTAAGAAACTATTAAACTAAATAATTCAGCTCTACTAAACGCCCACTATCTCAGTCACTTGCAAATACTTTCAAATACTCTGATCTGTTTCAGTCAAATGTAGGTTCACATTTTACTTTTTTAGAGTCTTTGATCTTTCTTTGATTTAATGTCTAGACAGTGGGGCTGAAGACAAGTGGGTTATGATGTCACTACATGGAAAAGTCTGAGCTCATGAATACTAATTTGGTTTTGTTCCGCACTGTTTTGGCATTAAGATACAATGTCATTCAGGTTTTACATTTGATCAGATATTTTTATGTGACCTTTCAATATTTTATCCATCTTGATCTGCATACATACAGTACATTTGCATAAAGCAATATTTAAAGTAATTATAATATTGCCCAGCTCTTTATGTAAAGTTAGATATATAAGCATGTTCAACGTTATCCACATACATACAGTATACTTGCGTAGGCTGAAATATACTGTACAGCAAAATAAGCAAATCTCAACTGCTTGATTGCTTGCAAATTATATTATCGTCTAGCTCTCATCTGCTTGAAGCAACTATAATGCTTAAAGCTATTAAGATACTATTAACAATACCATTATGATTTTCTGTAAAGCTGCTTTGAAACAATATGTATTGTATTGTATGTGTATTGGCTTTTTCTACATAAATGCAAGAAAATTATTTCCTGCGTCTGAGCCAGCAATGGTGCATATTTTAATATTAACTTGCTTAAGTTTGGTTGAGTGGCCAAAGATGGGGTTCTGGTGCCCCTGTGTCCAGATCTGCTCATTTTGTCCCATTTTCCTGGAATCAACTCCTGTAGTTCTTCTGTGAAGCACACTATCGGCTCAATATGTTCTGATAAATTGGCAGTCTCTCTTGTAAATAAATAAACAAACAAACAAACAAACAAACACACACACACACACACACACACACACTGTCCCCCCTTTCTCTTTGTTGGCAGGTGTCTTACTGGCATGTCTGTTTAGGGCATGTTTGCCCGGCCCAGCACCACATGCCAATCTCACACCATCTGAGCTATATCTTGGTCGCCAATTCCGTTCAGATAATGAATCTGATATGCTTGCACAATGCTAGTTTATAAACACAAAAAGAGCATACATAGTAATATTGTTAATGGATGAGAAACTGATTTCTACAGAATTTGAACACCTGTCATTTAATGTGTTCGGATTCTGTAGTTTTAAAAAAAATGTTTTTAGATATGCTTTCAGCCATCAATAACTGCTGTCAGCTCTAATTAACACATTTTGTCATGTTTAAAACAATTCTGCTGAATTCTTTCCAGCCCAGAAAATGTGGAAAAAACTGCAGATTTTGTCTGGACATCTCTCTCTCTCTCATCTGATTGCCCCAGTCGAGAGGTTTTGATCCCTGCTGTAAGTGCAGTGGTTCAGAAATTGGCTGTGATTGGATGGGCTGGGGAGGTGGCCCACTTTCACAGCACTGATAATGGAGATGCCACAGAGCCAGTTGCACATGAGGACAAGTCTCTCAACCTCGTTCTCTTTCTGCTGTTTTTCTCTCCATCTGTAGTTACCTGTTTCCAGATGGGCGCAGTTATAACCCAGATCTCACAGGCCTATGTGAACCCACCCCACAAGACCACATTAAGGTCACACAGGTTAGTAACCAATGCAAGTTTAGGTAGGCTATATGTCAGATTTTGTATATTATCTTTTTCATAGATTTTTTTTTCTCTTTTTTCGGACTTTTCAGGAGCAGTATGAGTTGTACTGTGAGATGGGCTCCACGTTTCAGCTGTGTAAGATCTGTGCCGAAAACGATAAAGATGTAAAGATAGAGCCATGTGGTCACCTTATGTGCACTTCCTGTTTGACATCATGGCAGGTATGTATAAAGGTGTTTTTATAGTTTAGTAGTGTATTTAATTTGTCCACTATCAGTGTCCAGCAGTCTCACAGGAAAATTTTGTCTTTTTTTTTTTGTGAATGTAATGAATAAATTGGATCCCACATTTTTAATATCTTTGAATTTCTAATATCTCATATTTCAACTCAAGCATGCTCTTTAATGGCACCGTTGTCACTTCGTAACTCAGTACAGTAGTGTTTTTGGGAAAAATAGAAAAGCTTGTTCAGAAAGTTGTTCGGTGTAGTAGAGATGACAACACAACTGTGTTACAGTCATAATCTTAGACAATACTATAAAAATAATATTATTTATTGTGTGAAAATAATTATTGCAAGGATTGTTTTTCAAACTATTTTATATATAATATTTTTTTATTATTGAATTAATCATATTTATTAATGTGTTATATTTAATTTGTTTTTTATTTTTGTTTTTATGATGAATTTTCATATGGTGAAAAAAATGCTGGTTCCAAAGTACCTAAAGCTTTACTATAATGTGTTATTTTTTTAAATAAACATTATTCATGTAGTCACACTCTACTGGATTGCTAATGCTAAAACAGCTTAACGTTACACGTGTGTGCTACCACCACACCTCTCATGCACAGCTGCGCTCATGCATGAAATAAACATGTCTTATTTTCATCTACTATGATGAAACTCTTTGCATCACATATAAACGCTTCAGTGATGCCCAGTGCTCAGCTAATGGATCTAGTTAGAAGTGCTTTAATGGCATGCTATGACCTGAATACTGAGCGTCATCAGGGCTCAGAGGGGAACGAACAGCAGGTAATCTGTCTCTCCGTCGCCCTTGCGTTTGTCCTGATCACAAATGCAAGCGGCACCACAGCGGGCAGGTGAAGGGGCGGCAAATGTGTCCGGTCTGGTTGCATTTATCTTCTGGGTGTGTGTTTCTGTGTGTCAGTGCATGATTGTGATTGAGGATGTTTACATGGTTGATGTTAGACATGTGGGGTGAAGTGTGTATGTGTTTACATTTTAAGTACCGGCCGAATTGCCAGAAATGCTCAGATCTAGGGTGTTGTCTGAGCATCAGAGTTTCTCTGACGATAAACAAATATTTCAGGGCCACGGTAGGGTCAGCTAAACTCGGATGCCTCAGCCAGATGCATGGTGCTTTTTTCATTATAAAAGAAACTTCAATTGCTCACTCATGTAGGTGAAGCAGGATCGAATCAGGCCAGCAAAATGTGCTGATTCCATTCCTTCGTTCTTTTCCCAGTAATATCCTATCATTCATCATTACATCACTCAACAATTTAAGAAACAAGCAGTATTATTGTAATGTTTCGTGATTGGTCGCAGTAGTTTACACTCAGCTGCACATGGATCTGTTACCATCTGGGTTTTTGAGAGGCTGGAGATCAGATTTGTGCTTATCGACCATGAACCTGTGTTCTTTACTGCGTGAAAGTTGAAGTGAAGCGCTCAAGCTTATTGAATTCAGAAGAGCACTTGACTGAAACAGTACAACGGCCCCTAAAAATAATTTTGACACTTACAAATGTATGAATGTCACTGCCTTAAATAAGAAAATGTCAAACCGAAGTTCCATTTATTTTAACAGAAATATAGCACAAAAACATTTTTCAAGTGAAACATTTGAGAACAAAAATTAGAAAAAGTTTTCTAAAAACTATTTTTCTGAGAAGATGTCTATGATGAAACAGTAGACTCAGCAGCTCAGAACTAAGCAAAGTGTTTGTAGAGTTTCCGGTTGTCAAATGTGTAGCATAATGTGCTACTTTAAGTTTAGATGCAAGTATTTGCTTGTGTTTGTGCCACATTTAAGTGTAAGAATGTGTGAAGAAGGGTGTCATGACAGAATTGTCACTGAACACACATTATCACAACACAGATCTAAAATGGCATCTAAAAAGCCTCAGCTGCGATCCATTGAGTTCATTTTTGGACAGCAAGAGACATAATATTAGTAGGCCTGTCACAATAACAACTTTTTGTTGTGCAATATATTGCCCCAGAAATAATTGCGATAAGCGATATTATTGTCATTTTAAAGACCATTGTATGCCACTGAATATATAATCATAATGTAACAGCATAATAATGCAAGAAGGCCTACACACTTCCAAATGACAACAAACTTTTTAAGAATTTTTAAGAATATTTAGATCATGGAAATTTTTTTCCCTGACCTTCTTTTCTCTGTAAATTAAGGGTGCACACTATTCCTGAAAAACACAATCCTTACTTAGCAGTCAGATGTCCGTATGCACAAAGGCACAGATCCCTAAACAAGACCATATCTGCAGATGAAACATTTTTTGTAGAAGCATTTTTTAAATTTCAACTAGCACCTCATGACTACATCACGTTATGTTCGAGAAGCTGCAAAAGACACGGGCGCAAGTGGAGTGTACAAAACATGGTGACATAAATTTTTAAGTAAATATAATGGGAGATATATTGCGTCACCACAAATGATTGCGGTCATGTACATATATTGCGCGATAAGTCGATATATTGATTATTGCGACAGGCCTAAATATTAGTGCTGTGTGGCTTTTTAAAATGTCCTCTGTTGTTGCTCACCCGCTCACTTTCTAGAACAGCCAAAGTGGTATCCCTTTTAACCTGTCACCTGCCTATAAAAGGGACCTAACCGTTAAATAAACCATTGAACCGGTTAAGAGCCTAGAGAAGTGTCGTCTCACCCCCTAGCTGGCAGAGGCATTAATATTCATTGCTATTTTTCTGGTAAGTTTACAAACACACACAGCAGCAAAGTCTGTGTGGTGACTATCCCTTAGAAATCTCACTCTCCTTTCGTTTTTAATGGCCTTGTTTTATGCCGAGTCAGTTCGGGTGTGTTTCATTTTCTCCGTTTAAGGGCTTTAATTAGGATTAGGTTTCAAACAACGCTTTGATGTCTTTTCAGTGACCCCTCAACCAGACGGCAGCCATGATCATCTTTTGTTCTTGTAAATATCGACACACTTTGATTCTCCGAGTTTAATGGAGGAAATGAAAGATGATTGTTTTTCATTTTGCCATGTGTAAGCTGTCTCCAGGCCGTACCGAGCCGTGCGACATGGCGAAATTGCCTGCCTGTGTGTGTGTCTGTCTTACTCTGCTGTTTCCTAAATCACAAAAAGAGAAGTTCGGTACCCGGCTTGAGGGGGTAGCATGTGCGTTTCAGCTGTTTGTAATCAAGCATGGCTCTTCAGATCCTGCCAGTAAAGAGCTTCCTCATGGCCAAGGCATATTTCCACAACAAGTCTGTCAGTGTTTACAGCACTATACAAATAAGCAGCCCAGAACCGTTGGAGTCGAGTTTACCGGAGGTACTACGCTGTGTGCATGTGCTCGTGTCTGTTTCGAGTGAGAGGCGTGTGTGTGTGTGCGCGCTAGTGTTTTAAAGTTCACTCAGTGTGTCTTTGACTCTTTTCCGCAGGATTCTGATGGTCAGGGTTGCCCGTTCTGTCGCTGTGAGATCAAAGGCACAGAGCCCATCATTGTTGATCCGTTTGACCCACGCAACGAAGGGGCCAAGTGCTTCCTCCTGGACCACTTCAGCTCCCCAATGCTGGACCTGGATGATGACGATGACCGAGAGGAATCGCTGGTTATAGACCATATCAGGAAGGTAAAATATCCATGAAATTTCCAACTTCATATCAAAATCGACCCTATTTGCTTACTGGTACCTACTGTTTAAAAGTTTGAGGTCGGTAAGAGTAAATGTTTTTATTTTTTTTTAATAAATCTCTTATGCTCAATGCTGCATTTATTTGATCAAAAATACAGTAAAAACAGCAATATTGTAAATTATTATTACATTTTAAATTAAGATATTTTATGTATTAAATATATTTTAAAATGTTATTCCTGTGATGGTAAAGCTGAATTTTCTCCAGTCTCATTACTCCAGTCTTTAGTGTCACATGATTAAAAGTATTCATTTCTTACTAACCCATAAGTTTTGGGCAGTAGTATATATGTACTGAATGTTAATTTGTATTAATTATGTAATATTCATATCAGTTATGTACAGTGAAGATTTGTTCATGGACTTTTTAAAATTCATCAGGGCATGTTATTAAAAAGATTTAAAAAAAATGCTTATATGTAATATTGTAATATTTTATATACATTTATAACTTGTTCACCTCTTAAACAACTTCCTTTTTTTGGATAATGTCACCAAGCCCTTTTATTTTTCAGTCTGTCCCATCCATTCTTGTATGTAACGCCCACTTTTCAAGGCTCAGTCAAATACTGATGGATAAAATTAATTCCAGACCATTTTTTGTTTGTTTCTGGAATATGTCGCATTATGTAAGCAAAATTGGTTGCAAATGAATTTCATGTTGACTTTATCATAGGTCTGTTGGTTCGTTATCATAGGTTTACAAGTATGCAGAAGTTTGTTTCTGCCCAAACCTGCTCAGTAGATAAGATTTAATTCATCACTGTTGTCATTCCACGGCCAATCTTCTTTTTTCTAGGCGTTTCAATCTCATTCTTCACTGGACTTCAAAGAGGCCTATATCTTGCTTTTATATAGGTGCAAGAGCCTCATGCTCTCCACCAGCATAAATGTCAGTCTCTTTTATTAGAAAAAAAAAAAAACCTGTCGGAACCTGCCTCACGAGGACACAACCTCCGCAGCTTCGCTGAGTAGATTCATTAAATGGTAGAGCTTAGAGAGCAATAGAGGGCACCTTTTGGCAGGTATTATTTTTAAGATTAATTTTTGAGATATTAGTTTTTTTCCTCTCCCCATAATGCCCTTGCAAGAGAACTTGTAGATGATATTGGCCTCCTAGTGGGTGAGAACTAGTTTGTACTAAGAGTAGTGCACATTATTCACCTTTAATTTCCTGTATCGTTTCTCAGAAAATTTAATTAGCAGCTCTTTCCCCCTCTATAAATATTTTTCTACACCACGGACAAAAGCTGGCCAGCTGCAATTGCTCTATTCATGGCTATGCTAATGAGGCTATTAGTTGATTAGGAAGTTGAATACCCTAACCTGCCCATAGCAATTCAATGAGGTAATAGGCCATTAGGATAACTTTGTACGCAATCATGATGATGGTAATAATGAGTTTGTCATTGTCCTTCTTGTTGTCTTGTTTGTTAGAAGCATTTTATCTTAATCAAGACCAAGACCTGTGCAACATTGAGTGTTTCTGTACTGCCCTGATTTAACTGGATTTTACATTTTCTGGGGGGGATAAAACTTGAGTGCAGCTTGATTGTGTAAAACATTGTGTGAAACATGATTTTAGGATGTTGTGGATGACTGCCAGGCTGTTGCTATATGGTCGCTAAGGTGATTTGAGTGTTTTCATCTGGTTGCTAGAGTGTTCTTGGTGGTTGCTAGGTGGATTATAGGTCCATGGTTCTCAACCAAGAGACCGGAACCCACTAGGGGGCATCAGCAAACTTCCAAAGGGGCTTTAAAATGGCTTAAAATTATTTAAAATAAGACAAAACAAGCTTTCAAATAAGCTAAATCAGATGTAGATATTTCCCTCAAAAACTGTAATTTTAAGAACCAGGATTCCCATCGTTTTGGAAAATCTGGATATATGAGGAAGCGTTATTTTAGAATATAAAATCTTTTAATAAAAGATTAAAAAGTCATGGTCATTTCTGTAATGAAAATACGTTTCTCTAGTTATGACAAGCTCTTAAAAAGAGGTATAAATTGCTATTTGTGAGTGAAAGATATATTTTAAAACATTCAAATTTTTTTATTTTTTATTTTAATAATTTTATTTTGAATGAGCTTTTCAATGTTGTCTTTGACAATGGGGGAGTCAAAAAGGTAGAGAACCACTGTTCTAGCCGACTTATTTCTGATTGTCCCAAGTCTAGTTTTAAACTTATAGATATGAACAAACCCAATAAATGATCAATAATAATGATGCTTGTCTTTGCAAACGCTACTAAATATTGCATAAATCATCATCAGTGTTTCTCTCTTTCTTTGCGTAGTCCATGGAGATCCAGAACTCGCCAATAATGTCTCCGAACTCATCCCCTGTGTGTGAACGCCGGAAAACCGCTGCAGATCACATGGGCCCACACTTGAACATTCCACCCGTACCACCCCGCCTCGATCTCATACGTTCTCCCGCTCCTAGTCCCACAGGCTCACCCAAGGTATAGTTTGTTTCAAGGTATCACGATACATTTTTAGATTTTTCTCCGTTTAATTTCCTTATGTTCCAAGTTTCTCTTTTTGCTTTGCAGTCATCTCCAGGCATGTCCAGAAAACAGGACAAACCCCTTCCTGCCCCTCCACCTCCACAGAGAGACCCCCCTCCCCCACCTCCGCCAGAACGCCCACCTCATATCCCTCAAGAGGGCCGGGCCGCCTGGCTGGTCACCCCATCGTCTGGCCTTCCCAGAGACCCCAGAGCACCCCTGGAGGCCTGGAGCCCTAAAGACAGCACTGCCTTGTCAGACTGCAGGACGTCTGCTGCAGACCGCTCCCCCAAACTCGCCCACGCCGCCCCTGCGCACATCAATGGGAGACCCCTCAGCTGCTCCGGTGCAGACTTGGGGTTAAACCGGACCAGCCACAGACTGAACGCGCAGTCAGAGTGTAGTAAGGTTAGGAACGCACACACATTCCTTCTGTATCATGCGGATCACGTTCACACGCTCGTTTTGGGGAGCGACACTTTATATTAGGGCTGGAATGTCCTTCTTTGATAAGCGGCGTCAAGAACATGAGATAAGAGCAGAAAAATGACCGGACATTGTGCTTTGAAATCACCTAGAACCTTCTGTACTCATTCACAAGCCCTTACATGCCTATTTTAAGCCATAAATATTCACTTTTTGCCCATGGCTGTTACTAAGCAACAGTGACGATATTCGCAGTAAAGCAAGGCTGTGAAATTCAGCTGTGTGTAGTACTTCTGGCCCTGGCATTAAAAAAAAGGTATTTAAAAAGCATTCAAAGCCTTTCATGATTACAGCGGTTGCCCTCCCACCCCACCATGTGTTTTTGCATATATCTGGGTTAATGTACAAAAATGTAAAACACACACATTCGTGGCTCTCTGAGAGTTTATAGATTATTCGTTAAATAAGCGTGTTCTGTGAGAGGGGATTGGAGAGAGTTAAATATTTGGTTGCAAAACTGTAGTGGGTCTCTCATTAAAGCCCTTTTGGAAACTAAGAACGTCTCTGAGATGTTTTGGGTTGTTTGAAGTGCATGTGGATCTTTTTGATCTTTTTGTTCTACTAAGGTTTGCAACATGCAATTATATGTAACCATCAATTGACTGTAAAATTCCCTCTCTCTCTCTGTCCCGGGTTGGCATGCCAGTGTATGGATTAATTTAGTGTCACAGTGTGGGCACAGAGAGTTTGGCCCCTGTTCTCCCGTCACTGCAGGCCACAGCTAGTGTGCAGCATCACACGCTGCTCTTGATCTCTGAAATAAACCGACTCAGACATCAGAGGCTTCTAGAGCTCCATGATGGAGGTCTAGAAGATCCTTCTGGTTTATTCACTAGACACATTTACAGGATATTCTGCAGGAAAATATATTGTATTCTCAGATCTACTGTATCTATCTATCTATCTATCTATCTATCTATCTGTCTATCTATCTGTCTATCTATCTATCTATTACCACTGACCAGTATATAGAATATTTATGATACAATATTACCGTGTTTCATATGTAAAATTTATTATCCATCCATCCATCCATCCATCCATCCATCCCTCCTTCTGTACCTATCTATCCATCTTTCAATCTATAATTATTCCATCCATTCATTTTTCCATCAATCTGTTCATCCGTCCTTCTATCTCTATCCATTGTGTGTATATCCATCCATCTATATATGCTTTTCCATCCACCTGTCTGGTCATCCATTTTTCTGTCTATAATCCATCCATCCATACATATTTTGTGCTGTTGTTCCATCTGTCTGTCCATCCATTTTTCTATCTATAATCTCTCTGTCCAATCCATCCATCCTTTGTTCTGTTTTCCATCTATCCATTCATCCCTCTATATCCATCCATTGTGCATATTTTGTTCTGTTTTTCCATCCGTCTGTCCATCCATTTTTCTATCTATAATCTGTCTGTCCAATATATCCATCCATCCATCCATCCGTCTGTCCATCCATTTTTCTATCTATAATCTGTCTGTCTGTCCAATCCGTCCGTCCATCCATCCATCCATCCATCCATTCATCCATCCTTTGTTCTGTTTTTCTATTCATCTGTCTGTCCATCCATTTTCCTATCTATAATCTGTCTCCATCCATCCATCTTTTGTTCTGTTTTTCCATCCACCTGTCTGTCCATCCATTTTTCTATCTATAATCTGTCTGTCCAATCCATTCATCCTTCCTTCCATCCATCCATCTATCCATGCATCCTTCTGTCTGTCCATCCATTTTTCTATCTATAATCTGTCTGTCCCATCCAACCGTCTACCTGGTTGCTTATTGATCACGAAATCTAAAACTGTGTAATCAAAAATGGCTTGGCTATATTATTTTATAATTGCGTGTTTGTGTGTATTTCTCTGCAGTCTTTCATCAACGGCCTGTTACCTGGTGATGAGTATGATATCCCCCCTCTGCGTCACTCCCCTCCCCTTGTGGACCACAACCAGAGGTAAGCGCCACACACACACACACACAGTTGCCACTCCCATCCCCGGAGCCCTGCTGCAGCTCTTGTTCTTTGTGTGCATGTTGATCATAATCGCTGTAAAGCAGCCAAATCTATCTTTCTTTATTCTGAAGGGAGCCTCAACAAACAAACAACCGTGTTTACTCTGCCCAGTTCACTCATATCATGTTCAAATGATTACAAATCACCTGCTTGCCACTCTCAAGCACTGTGTTTTTCTGTGGACTCGCTGATCTTTTGACGCTGATCCTTAGCGTCTTTTCCTGCTTTGCTCATTGATCTGCTTTTGTAATGTTCCATGACTAAATTATTGCTTTCTTGCAAATGATTTCTGTGGTGAAAATACAAAAAGATCATGTGGAATTAATAAATGTGTTAATGTGATCCAGGGTGTGTGTGCACAGGCTGCATCCTGTATATCTCTAGAGTTCTGTCAGAACAACACACACATATACAGACATCAGTGTTTGGACACATGTGCACCAATTATGCAAGAGCACCAGGATCCGGAGAGCATGTACTCTTTAAACAAACATAAAGGCACACACACACACAGAGATCCAGCAGTGATGGACTTCCTGTGGGGCTTTTGAGGGAATTAAGCAGAACCAGCCTATGAGAGGTTACACTCCAAGCAGCAAGCCTTATTTCCTCTTCTGATTATACTCTTTCTTTACTTTATATTGCACTCAGAGTGCTGGATTTTTGTTGTTATTATTATAATTAGATAAAAAGAAGTGATTAACATAGTAAACTTAACCACTTAGCTTGTGCTGTTTTTGTGCTACAGATACAAATGATAATTCAAACTATGCTGCTTGTTCAGGAGAGGTGTGCACTTTCTTTTCTAAGCGAATGGACCTATACTTTTCACCTGGCTAATTATAAAATTCCCAAACATTCTCATTTGAATGTGATTTGACTTTGCTTTGAGAAACTTCAAAGTCACGGAACATGTTAAAAACCGCTCAGATCACCTTAGCAGAACCATACTTGATAAAGAGTTCTAGTAAACTTAACCACTTAGCTTGTGCTGTTTTTGTGCTACAGATACAAATGATAATTCAAACTATGCTGCTTGTTCAGGAGAGGTGTGCACTTTCTTTTCTAAGCGAATGGACCTATACTTTTCACCTGGCTAATTATAAAATTCCCAAACATTCTCATTTGAATGTGATTTGACTTTGCTTTGAGAAACTGCAAAGTCACGGAACATGTTAAAAACCGCTCAGATCACCTTAGCAGAACCATACTTTATAAAGAGTTCTAGAAACACTCTAAATGCCTTAGCAATGCCCTGACTATCATCCATAGCACCCTAGTCATTGGTTTGGTTGTCAGTGTTAATAGCTTCATTCATGCAACACTGTTTTGCTCCTCTCAGCAGTTCCTGCTACAAGAAAAAACTGTTTCTGTCACTGCTTTGACAAATGAAACCAAGAGGCTCTGGAAACCACAATGGATGTTGTTTAGAGCACAGAAGAATAGTGTTGTGTGTCTATGTGGTGTATCTGTCCATAGAGCTGCGTCAGTAGTCAGTGATGTGTTTATAGAAGCTGAGATCATTGTATTGTTAGTAAGCATAGTAAGGCTTTTCTACTGGCTTCGGGGCACACTGAGTTCTTTGTGATGGGCATCACACTTACCAGCATACGTTTACTGTACAGAAACACACACGCACACCAACGTCTTGGAACTGTTGAGAGGACTTTCCACCTCCTCAAAGAAAAGGAAAACATGTGAACCTGTCATCTCTCTCTCTCATAGGTGTTTTCACACTGCTATGGTTGGCTTCTCTTTAAAGACTTGGCAAATGTACATCTATAAACACTCTCTTGATGACTTGGAAACAAGGAGCACTTCGAAACACTTAAAAAAGATCTTTAATGAATCTCTTCATTGTCACAGGGACAAGAACTGTCTAAAGTGCCCTCTAATGGCGCATCACGGTAGCAGCCCAGACTTGGCTGGAAAACCGCCCATCGTATCCCAGTCAGAGCTAGTTAACCTCTCTCCCCCCTGTAGGTGCCGACCTGTTTAAATATTGGCCGTCTTTGCCTACTTCAGCCCAGCATGTGACTCTAAGTTAGAGCATTACGTGATTAAACTGGCTAATCTCGCAGCGACCAGCTCACACACTGCAGAGTGCTCATTTCAGTGAGTCAGCATGAAGGCGGAGAACATCGTCAAAGTCTCCTGAAGAGTCAGTTACAATGCTGTCATCAATGTAAATATTTACATATGGTTATTCCACACTTTGCTGTAATTTGGGAGCACATGAGGCGGTTTATTTGAGTATTTGCTAATGCAGTAATTAATATTTGGAGTTGAGGAGTTGTTCAAGTATGTATCAAGTTTTCCATGGTACAAACATGAATGATGTCTCAAATAATGCTGTTGTTGAGGAAAGATGTTCTTTTACTTTTCTAAGCCATCAGATTTATGATAAAAAATGTGGAAAAAACTACAGATTTGCACTGAAAGGGGGAACAAGTCTATATAAAGATCAGAATACCATAGAGTCTAAAAAACACACTAAACTTCTTACCAACCTTATAGCAACATGCTGTGTAGAGCTGAATGGTGTCACTGTGGTCTGAGAACCCAATCTGTGGCCGATCTGATGCCTGAAGCATCATGGGATTGCGTGTACATGTTCCTGTATGTGTTGTGAAAAGAGATTTTTGTGATCTGCAGACACACCAACCCCTTCACAAGCCACCGAAGTCTGACGGACAGAGTGGAGGACGAGTATCAGATTCCCTCATCACATCCCGTCTGCATCACACAGCCGGCCGTCTGCATCCCCTTCCGCATCCCCAACAGGTAAACACACACACGCTACTGAAACAATGACTCTTTTAATGTGCTTCCAACATTTACATGTGTTTTCTCTTCATAAAGGGCTTTAGAAAACGGCTCGTCGGATCTCTCAACAGACATAAAGAAACATAAACCTCCAGAGCATGGTGAGAGAACACACACTTGTACACACATACACACACCGTCTCTCATCTGTCATCTTCATTTTCTGTATGACCATCTTTTAGCGTTGATTGTGGGAGTTTGTGTGTGTTTGTAGCATTAGGGATTGAAGTTTACATTGTTTTATGTGGTGGCCGATGGTGGTTGAAGTCTCAGAGGCCAGTTGTTGGTCAGTGTAACTCTGTGTTGTGTCCCTCAGGTGGGTTTGACTCTGGTTCGTTGATTTTGGGTTTGGCTCACACCACACAGTGCCCCCTCCACAACAGGACACCCTCAGACTATGACATTCTACTGCCCCCTCAAGGTAGCCAATGGCGCAGCGCCTCAATCTGATTGGCTGCCTGATTAGCAGACTGTTTATTTGATTTGTATCTATCTATCTATCTATCTATCTATCTGTCTATCTATCTATCTATCTATCTATTACCACTGACCAGTATATAGAATATTTATGATACAATATTACCGTGTTTCATATGTAAAATTTATTATCCATCCATCCATCCATCCATCCCTCCTTCTGTACCTATCTATCCATCTTTCAATCTATAATTATTCCATCCATTCATTTTTCCATCCATCTGTTCATCCGTCTTTCTATCTCTATCCATTGTGTGTACATCCATCCATCTATATATGCTTTTCCATCCATCTGTCTGGTCATCCATTTTTCTGTCTATAATCCATCCATCCATACATATTTTGTGCTGTTGTTCCATCTGTCTGTCCATCCATTTTTCTATCTATAATCTCTCTGTCCAATCCAACCGTCTACCTGGTTGCTTATTGATCACGAAATCTAAAACTGTGTAATCAAAAATGGCTTGGCTATATTATTTTATAATTGCGTGTTTGTGTGTATTTCTCTGCAGTCTTTCATCAACGGCCTGTTACCTGGTGATGAGTATGATATCCCCCCTCTGCGTCACTCCCCTCCCCTTGTGGACCACAACCAGAGGTAAGCGCCACACACACACACACACAGTTGCCACTCCCATCCCCGGAGCCCTGCTGCAGCTCTTGTTCTTTGTGTGCATGTTGATCATAATCGCTGTAAAGCAGCCAAATCTATCTTTCTTTATTCTGAAGGGAGCCTCAACAAACAAACAACCGTGTTTACTCTGCCCAGTTCACTCATATCATGTTCAAATGATTACAAATCACCTGCTTGCCACTCTCAAGCACTGTGTTTTTCTGTGGACTCGCTGATCTTTTGACGCTGATCCTTAGCGTCTTTTCCTGCTTTGCTCATTGATCTGCTTTTGTAATGTTCCATGACTAAATTATTGCTTTCTTGCAAATGATTTCTGTGGTGAAAATACAAAAAGATCATGTGGAATTAATAAATGTGTTAATGTGATCCAGGGATTGTGTGCACAGGCTGCATCCTGTATATCTCTAGAGTTCTGTCAGAACAACACACACATATACAGACATCAGTGTTTGGACACATGTGCACCAATTATGCAAGAGCACCAGGATCCGGAGAGCATGTACTCTTTAAACAAACATAAAGGCACACACACACACAGAGATCCAGCAGTGATGGACTTCCTGTGGGGCTTTTGAGGGAATTAAGCAGAACCAGCCTATGAGAGGTTACACTCCAAGCAGCAAGCCTTATTTCCTCTTCTGATTATGCTCTTTCTTTACTTTATATTGCACTCAGAGTGCTGGATTTTTGTTGTTATTATTATAATTAGATAAAAAGAAGTGATTAACATAGTAAACTTAACCACTTAGCTTGTGCTGTTTTTGTGCTACAGATACAAATGATAATTCAAACTATGCTGCTTGTTCAGGAGAGGTGTGCACTTTCTTTTCTAAGCGAATGGACCTATACTTTTCACCTGGCTAATTATAAAATTCCCAAACATTCTCATTTGAATGTGATTTGACTTTGCTTTGAGAAACTTCAAAGTCACGGAACATGTTAAAAACCGCTCAGATCACCTTAGCAGAACCATACTTTATAAAGAGTTCTAGAAACACTCTAAATGCCTTAGCAATGCCCTGACTATCATCCATAGCACCCTAGTCATTGGTTTGGTTGTCAGTGTTAATAGCTTCATTCATGCAACACTGTTGTGCTCCTCTCAGCAGTTCCTGCTACAAGAAAAAACTGTTTCTGTCACTGCTTTGACAAATGAAACCAAGAGGCTCTGGAAACCACAATGGATGTTGTTTAGAGCACAGAAGAATAGTGTTGTGTGTCTATGTGGTGTATCTGTCCATAGAGCTGCGTCAGTAGTCAGTGATGTGTTTATAGAAGCTGAGATCATTGTATTGTTAGTAAGCATAGTAAGGCTTTTCTACTGGCTTCGGTGCACACTGAGTTCTTTGTGATGGGCATCACACTTACCAGCATACGTTTACTGTACAGAAACACACACGCACACCAACGGCTTGGAACTGTTGAGAGCACTTTCCACCTCCTCAAAGAAAAGGAAAACATGTGAACCTGTCATCTCTCTCTCTCTCTCATAGGTGTTTTCACACTGCTATGGTTGGCTTCTCTTTAAAGACTTGGCAAATGTACATCTATAAACACTCTCTTGATGTCTTGGAAACAAGGAGCACTTCGAAACACTTAAAAAAGATCTTTAATGAATCTCTTCATTGTCACAGGGACAAGAAATGTCTAAAGTGCCCTCTAATGGCGCATCACGGTAGCAGCCCAGACTTGGCTGGAAAACCGCCCATCGTATCCCAGTCAGAGCTAGTTAACCTCTCTCCCCCCTGTAGGTGCCGACCTGTTTAAATATTGGCCGTCTTTGCCTACTTCAGCCCAGCATGTGACTCTAAGTTAGAGCATTACGTGATTAAACTGGCTAATCTCGCAGCGACCAGCTCACACACTGCAGAGTGCTCATTTCAGTGAGTCAGCATGAAGGCGGAGAACATCGTCAAAGTCTCCTGAAGAGTCAGTTACAATGCTGTCATCAATGTAAATATTTACATATGGTTATTCCACACTTTGCTGTAATTTGGGAGCACATGAGGCGGTTTATTTGAGTATTTGCTAATGCAGTAATTAATATTTGGAGTTGAGGAGTTGTTCAAGTATGTATCAAGTTTTCCATGGTACAAACATGAATGATGTCTCAAATAATGCTGTTGTTGAGGAAAGATGTTCTTTTACTTTTCTAAGCCATCAGATTTATGATAAAAAATGTGGAAAAAACTACAGATTTGCACTGAAAGGGGGAACAAGTCTATATAAAGATCAGAATACCATAGAGTCTAAAAAACACACTAAACTCCTTACCAACCTTATAGCAACATGCTGTGTAGAGCTGAATGGTGTCACTGTGGTCTGAGAACCCAATCTGTGGCCGATCTGATGCCTGAAGCATCATGGGATTGCGTGTACATGTTCCTGTATGTGTTGTGAAAAGAGATTTTTGTGATCTGCAGACACACCAACCCCTTCACAAGCCACCGAAGTCTGACGGACAGAGTGGAGGACGAGTATCAGATTCCCTCATCACATCCCGTCTGCATCACACAGCCGGCCGTCTGCATCCCCTTCCGCATCCCCAACAGGTAAACACACACACGCTACTGAAACAATGACTCTTTTAATGTGCTTCCAACATTTACATGTGTTTTCTCTTCATAAAGGGCTTTAGAAAACGGCTCGTCGGATCTCTCAACAGACATAAAGAAACATAAACCTCCAGAGCATGGTGAGAGAACACACACTTGTACACACATACACACACCGTCTCTCATCTGTCATCTTCATTTTCTGTATGACCATCTTTTAGCGTTGATTGTGGGAGTTTGTGTGTGTTTGTAGCATTAGGGATTGAAGTTTACATTGTTTTATGTGGTGGCCGATGGTGGTTGAAGTCTCAGAGGCCAGTTGTTGGTCAGTGTAACTCTGTGTTGTGTCCCTCAGGTGGGTTTGACTCTGGTTCGTTGATTTTGGGTTTGGCTCACACCACACAGTGCCCCCTCCACAACAGGACACCCTCAGACTATGACATTCTACTGCCCCCTCAAGGTAGCCAATGGCGCAGCGCCTCAATCTGATTGGCTGCCTGATTAGCAGACTGTTTATTTGATTTGTTGTTTTGTTTTGCTTTTACTATTGCATTGAGTAACACAAAATGAGCTGTGAACCACAACGCAGACATTATTCATTATTGAGTCGCTAAATCTTATTATTAGCTTCAATTATAAGAGCTGTATGATGTGGATAAGGTGTGTTTGTGCAGTGCTTCTTTTCTGAAACGTAAGATTAATTCGTTTTTTACATTTATTCATCTTCACTTCCATTAATCTTTGATTCTTGAATTGCCTTTCAGTTTAATTCAGTTATACCACCTTAATAAACTTTAAGGCTTTTTCTCAATTGCTTAGACACTAAAATTAATTAGAGCGATTTCCCAAAAGAAAAACTTGTTTCTCATAAAAACCTGTTTTTCTGGGTTGCAAATCTTTTAATTTAGTAATTTATACTGCAGTTTCTAAAATGCTCTTTTTAAAGTCTCTTCTGCTCATCAAGGCTGCATTTATTTAATCAAAAAGACATTAAAAACAGTACTATTTAAAAAGTTTGACGTTTGTACAATTGGGTATGACCAGTGTTTTCATACAATGTGTCTTGGCAATTGAGTAAACATGTCATTTAGAGTCAGAGCACAATAAGTTTATGCATGAGTGATATTTTAGCTCCATCTGTTGGTGAGAGGAGGGATTACAGAGGCATGTAGAAAGACTCAATTTCTCTCTCTCTCTCTGTTCTCCCAGCGTATTCACAATATAGCCAAGCCTCCTATACCTTATGCTTGAAATGATATAATATTAATGATCAGAACAAACATTGCTTGCACATCTAGAATGAGCCAAAAGTATACACGTAATATCCTAATAAAACAGCCGTGAGCGCAGTGTGTTGTTCTGAATGCATAATAGCCCTGCAGTTTTATTAAATGAAGCCATTATCAAGATGAATGCGCTTATTAATTACTAGCCTGTAATGGGTTTTTAATGTGTTTAGAGTCTTTTCAGTCGGCCTGCTACCATCCACTCTCAATGGCCCATTTTGACTAAACACTCTTTGTTTCCTGTTTACAGTGGCCGGAGATTGCTCCAGGGCACCTGAGAGACCTCCGAAACCACTTCCCAGGATCATCCCACCAGACATCCACAGGAGACCGCACGAATCGTCCCGGGAGAACGTCGACGCCAAGATCGCCAAGCTGATGGGGGAGGGCTACTCGTTTGAAGACGTGAAACGAGCGCTGATGATCGCGCAGAACAAAGTGGACGTGGCACGGAACATTTTGCGGGAGTTTGCGCTAGTCGCCCCCAGGCAGGGCCTGTAGCCTGCGCCGAAGTGATTTCAAACTATCTACGACTGTCTCTGAGCGTACAAACCGCAGGCTGACTTCTGCTTGCTTTTGTTTAGCACGTGCAGCAAATGAGACGAAAATGTGCGCTTTTCCGCCAAAAGGAGCCTAACGGAGTGTTGCGTTTGTAACAATGGGATCCTGTGAAAAAAAACAAAAAAAGCATTGTGTTTACAGTGACGTGGCTTATCTGCAGCGCTCAGGTCATCGTCGTTACAGCAGGGGACGTTCAAGAAAGAAACCGAAATTGAATTTTTCATATTTGGAGGTGTCTGGCCACATTTTAGAGTGGATTTGCTGCGTCCTTCAAAGCAGTGACGTTTGTACTTCTCTCAAATTGACTGGACGGAATTGAAAGCAGCTCTGAACGCTTCTGTTAGTGTTGCCAGTGTCTGCAGGCTGTTCATGCCTTTCCTGCCACTGCTGCTGCTGCACACACACATATTACCCACGTCCAGCCGCTCCTTCCTGGCCTCTCGGGTATCATGAATTTTACAGTAATGGCTCTTGCTGTGACCATTTCTCCTTTATCTCATTAATTCGCCGTGAACACGTTACACGACAAACCAGATCAGATTGTTAGAGGCAGAAAAAGAGACGGACATCGAATATCAGGTTCTCGGTTCTCTTTCTGCCGGCTTTTTCAGTTTAGCCACTCTTTATCAACTCTTAACGGACGCCTTTGACAACTGCGTGCATTCCAGCGTTCGCAAGCAAGGGCTAATATGGTTGTTTCATCTTCTGTAAATAGGGCCTGTCAACTGGTGAAATAAAACAATCCCGAAAGCCCCTTTGAATGCATCGGTTCCTTATTTATTTTAAAATTAGTGCAGTGCAGGAGAAGCCACCTAAACCTTCCCCTTCCCTGTTTTCAGTTACCCTCAGCCCACTTGCACTGATGCTATATGCAAAAAAAAGAACTGGACTTGCACCATTTGTATAAGCGCCTGGCAAACAAACCAAAAACATGCAGAATATCATCTACGAGGCATTTTTAATGGTTTGACGTAATAGTGATTTCCACAAACTGAAGAAAACTCCAGCAACCGCTTCATTCAAGGCCTTTTGGGAGTGCTGTGAAGCTGGACCACTTTGACTCCTTTGTTTGTTTTTTTCCCCACTGGCTGTTTGTCATTCCTCCCTATCAGGTTTTCTCTTGAACTTGAAACTTCATTTTTGCACTGGTCTTGTCTCCATCTTACACTTGAAAGTCTGAGAACTGAGTGAACCCTCCAGCGGAAGAGGACGTGGCCTTCGACAGGTTCACAAGGGGAACGGTGTGTTCATTTCCCCTCTTCTTTTTACGAGAGATTTTACTTTGTTGGAAAATGCCTTGTGGATCATTTAAAACCAGTGATGTGTGCAATTAATTTATACTTTGTTAAAAGTTTTCTTGGAGATTATTATTTTCTTCTTTCAGTAATGTTGGTAACCCGTGATCTGTTCTTGTGGAGAAAAAAAAAAAAGTTTTATAAAAGCCAGTATTAACATCTGCTACGTGTGGTATTTTTTTGTAATTGTTGTGAGTGGACAAAACCCCCCAGAAACTTATTTCAAAATGTACACTTTTATTGTCAACAAAAGTACAAAAACAAAAGTCAGTATTTACAATACTTTATGGCCTTCTTTTGCGGTTACCCTCTTTGGTTTCACTGCTGACCTGATGGTTCAAAATATGCGAGACTTACGCTAACGGTTACGCTAAACATGGACATTCAAAACACTCGTTTGTGGAGACGAAACTGAATATGCGTGACAAAGTGAGATTACATTTTAAATAAAAAGGGTCTCTTTAGTGACTAAGCAGAAGCACAGCTAACCTTGCATTTCTCACACATTATAAATAGCCAAACACAAGCAAGACATTCAAACATATTTACAGCTTCTTCAGACCACGATGAACGGAACCCATCCTTAAAGACTACAGTGTCGGACATTAACCTGACAAACATCGTAGATACAAAAAATGATGTGTAAAAAAAAAAGGAATGCGGTTTTTGTAGTCTGAGGGAAGTGCAAAACTGAAAGGCTATACAGTGAAGTTTCACATTAACATACTGACTGAAGTTTGCCTACCAATACTCACTCTTTCTGTTAAGGCAGAATAATGGGGCTATTCTTTTATATTTACTTCCTATCAAAAAATAAAGGCTCTGCATGCAAGGTCGCTACTACCCAGTCTGATACCAAGAGCGGATGTTTGCTTGTTTATACTATATGCAAGTCACGTCTACGTTAAACTCTAGCGGGCTGTGTTCTGCTGAGCGCAGAGCCCTACAACTATGCCATCATGCAATGCAACCTGAAGGCCACTGGGTGTAGCAGAAAATCTCTACATTTCTAAACCCGTTTTCACTACTTAGCCACTTCGAACTAGAGGAAATAACATAGATGTCATAGGACAGTTACATAAAGAGGTACCAATAAATAAAACATGAGCGAACAGAGGTGTAACAGCAGTGAATTCATCGTTCTTCCAGCATCCGACCACGATCTTAAGGAGTTTTCGATGAGGGACTGTGCAATATCAACACGCAGTCTCAAAATCCATTATTATCCGTTCTTTTTTTCAATAATCCCAACGTTAAGTAGTGAACGCACTCCCCGTATTTACACAGGCCTAAAAAGTGTACAGCGAATTTACATTTTTTTTTTAACTAGAGGGGGAACAAAACAGCTGTGCCCACCACATTAGCAATGCGCATGACACGAGAACATTCACTGGGAACACAAAAGAAAAGTCAGAATCGATCAAAAATAAATGCAGTCCTCTGTGCAGACTAAATTTACAATACAAGTGGTTTTCTCTTTTACACTTTTGAATCGTGGTGGGGGATTTTCTTTCTCTTTTTTTAACAAACAGTTCATTTGGAATAGGAAATATTCTGAAAACATTCTGTGATGCGTGACACGCACGAGCAGCCCGAAGGAGGCGTCGCTGTCCAATCAGATGTCTGGAATTAGATGATTGAAGTGTGTAGTACTGCACATTCCATGTGACAAGGCCTCTTTCCTGGTTCATTTCTGGTATACAAACACAAACAAAGAAAGTGATTAGAAAAGATGAGAAGATAAGGATAGCCTGACATCAAAATATTGAGTTGGCGTACTCAATATTGCACCTTTATTAGCTACTGCAATATACTACATTGTTTACATCACATTGTAATAATGATAGTCTTAACACCTCGCTGTGATGTGCGTGATTCAGTTGAAAGACATGCACAACGGTCTTCAAAAGAACACATCTGTCGTGACTCTGTTTTAACGTCTTTTACCTCAGTAAAAAATGTACCAGTTCTCCATTTGGTGGTATAAATGAAAGATTCCTCACATTAAGCCACCAAAATGAGAACATGAGGATCAGAAAGGTCACAATGTTCCTCACCTATTTGTGGGAAGTGGAAACGGGTTAGTTCACCCAAAAATGAAAATTCTGTCATTAATTACTCACCCTCATGTCGTTCCAAACTCATAAGACCTTTGTTCATCTTCAGAACACAAATTAAGATATTTTTGATGAAATCCAAGAGCTCTCAGACCCTGCATAGACAGCAAGGTTACTACCACGGTCAAGGTCCAGAAATGTAGCAAGGACATCGGTAAAATAATCCATGTGACATCAGGGGTTCAACTGTAATTTTATGAAGCTACGAAAATACTTTTATTTTTAAGAAAACAAAAATAACTTCATTCAACAACTCTTCTCCTAATCATCCCATGGGGAGTAGAACTGTTGATAAAGTCGATATTCCGTTACTTACTCAGATTTTATCAAAAATATCTTAATTTGTGTTCCGAAGATGAATGAAGGTTTTACAGGTTTGGAACGACATGAGGGTGAGTAATTAATGACAGAATTTTCATTTTTGGGTGAACTAACCCTTTAACTTGTATATGATACTGTGAGTAACAATAACCTGCAATATTTGTGACATTATATATATATATATATATATGTGTATATATGTATATGTATGTGTGTGTGTGTGTGACCCTGGACCACAAAACCAGTCATAAGGGTGTGGGTGATGTAACACACACACACACACACACACATATATATATATACATACATGTACATTTTTTTCTAAAATAAACCTTACATTAAAGTTTTTAAATATACTTTTATATTGCAACAATTTCACATGCAATATTCAAATCAATGTACAAACAACAAAGACAGTATATTTTTTTAGATTCGTTTAGTGGCATCTTTTTAATGACTGAAGGCGAGTATCACTGATACAAATGTCTCTATGAAACTGACCATTGATTATAGCCATTCAACATTACAGTATAAATGAGAGATATCAATTTGAACATTTATTACACTTTAACAAATAACTTTTAATTTAACTTAAACCCATCTTAACATAAACCCATTATAATAAATGTCATATTTAGCTACCTGTGCCATTCAGCAAGTAGGAAATATACAGAAATTGAATAAAGTTATCAAACACTAAATTCTAAATTAAATATAGATGAATCCTTAAAGCTACAAAAGTTATAGATTTCCTCTATTTTTCTTTTGTTCTTTGATGAACAGACATCACAGCAGCTAGTTATTAGGTTATTTGGCTGCTATTTCTTTAAGAGCTGCCGCTGCTAAACGTGACGCGGATCTGACACGCATTGTGTTTTCTCACAACCTTTTATATATAATTGTGCTATAATATGAAATGATATACAGCGCGCCGGCGCATTTGTTCATGCAATTGAAGAGCACGTTTAACAAGCACAGTATAACGGCAGTCAGGAGAGGAAAATTTGTTTTTACTGACATATGGCCTGACATCTCATCTGACCTCAGTTCACTGATGTTCTCCTGAAGCTCCCTCGTCACCTGTACCATTTCCACGCTCTTTTTACTCGCACCTGGCGCTGAGGTTAAGTGGAGCGCACGTCTGAAAAGTCTAATATATAATATATATAAAATAATATATATATATATATTATGTATCACCCAGTTTTGGCAGGTGTGAATTTTCCACCCTGCTCTGAGCTTTGAAATTGTAAAATTGCAAGCAAAAATATCCTCACCTTCTTCGTTCTTCTTTGACGGCTCTCTTCTCTTTTAGACATCTGCTTTATGATTGTTCTCCTCCAGTTTCTTACTCTCCTCTGAAGTGCCTGTCTCCTTCTCGCCGGTCTTCCAGCTGCCTTGTCTAACAGGACAATTTTACCTTGATTAATCTTTCAGCACATTTCAAACTGAGCTCTTGCGGCTAGACCATTTCTGGCTCACTTGCTTCTCTTGTCAATCTGGACCAATCAAGATGATGTATAACAGCAGATACTGGGACTTCTACTGCAATCATATGTACTTCATCTGTACAGGTGGTAATTTAAATGTAGGCGATGAAATATACTCTGCTTTTTCATACTCTGCTTATTTTTGAGATGTCATGTTGCATCTTACCTTGTTTTCTTGATATAGAGCCAGTAGGTGAGTCCCACCAAAGCAGCGGCTACAAGGAGTCCAACCACGACACCCACAATCACTTTGGCCTGCTCGGTGCCATCTTCGTTTTTCTCTAAATGCGATGGGACAGATAAACACGTTATGAATTCTTCTGAAGCATTATGACTCTTCACAGGGAAAGGCAATGCTGGGAAATCAAAAATGATTGACAGAATCCTGCTATTTGAGAAAAATTAAAGCTGGGATTATTTCAAGATGACATTTTTTCAGGTATGACAGCTAAAAAAAAAACAATTAAAAGATGTGAAGGCACAAAGTTTGCATGATGTCAGGATGCTTGACACCCTCCGACTCATGATCTTAACCTTTACTTCATTTTAAGTGAAATTCAAGTGAATGAAATCAGATGATCTTACCTGGTTTGGACGTGTCCTCCTCAAATACTGAAATCAGATATAAAATCAAATTAACTTTGGGTGCAAAATTCAATCAAACTGGCATTTATGACAAATTTGGTGCGAAGTAAAGCCACCACCCAACTGTGGTTTAGATGCAAAACCAATTTAAATCAGAAGTGAGTATTGTCCAATCAGATTCTAGTAAGGAAGATGACCACAAACATGCGATAGCGGTCGGAAAGAAAGGAGGAGGAAAAGAGACTGCAGTCCAAGCACCCTGACACAGACAAACAAAACCCGAGCCAAAGCCAGAAACAAGAAAGAGAGCACCTCATGCCCTGTGAGTGAACAACAGGACCTGAGAGAGAGCAGCCAACCCTGCCTTTCCAGTGTTCACACCAGGACACTAATAATACTAATATAGTAAAAGGCCACTAAATCACCCTGCATTTGAATGGTGCATCAGGCAAACCTGTGTGGAACATGCTAGCTTTACCAATCTCCTCACATGCACATAAGAGAATGTTAGATACGGCATTTACTTATCAGGGCTGTCAAACTAGTATTATTTGTGCCACTAAAAAAACGTAAAATAAGACACAAATTGTACATCAATAATGCTAATTCTTTATTATTGCAAAACTAGTATGTTTCACCTATTTCTGTTCAAATAAACAAGCAATCTCAGTGCTTGTGCCCGCTCTCAAACCACTTGTTATTAACCATGTCAAATATGTAAGCTAATGGTTCTTTTTAATCTTGAAATATGTTATTGACAGCCCTATAATATGAGCCTTTTTAAAGGGGTCGATTGAGTGGTTAGTAAGCGTTCTCACAGCGGGAAACCCCTTCAGCGCGTTCAGTACTTACGAGAAAACACGCTGATCTCCTTCGTGTCCTCACCGAGTTTATTGGTCACAAAACAGCTGACGGTGAGGTTCTTACTGGGCACTACGGTCAGTTTGTATGTGGCCTTCCCGTTGACATATGACATTTCATCCTGCAGGACAACAACAATTGCAGTTATTTTTTAAATGACATTTTATAAACAGATTATTAACTTTATATGAAAAATACAAAAAAGCAAGAGTCAGCAAGAACAACGTTGGTTTCATTATCGGACCCGTTTGCTTAAGGCGCTATTTAATACACCTCTCCACTAGACGGCGCTAATGATCCTCAGCTAATTTATTATCATAAAGCCAGCACCACCACCACACCCCGCGCTAATGGAAAGTCTCACAGAAAACACACACACCTCAGGGTCGGGAAAAACGAGTGCAATGTGTGTCAGTAATCACACAGCCACTAAATGAGTCTTCGTAACACACTTCAATATCCGTGTCATTAAGGCAGACAGTGAGCGCATAGAGTTAGCTAATCGTACTGATACCAGCACTGCGATCTACAGGATCACAAAGCAAAATATACCAGAAATAAGCAGCCATTAAGATACTATTCTAATATCTAAGATATTATTACACACTGTCGTTCAAAAACTA